TCCCAAGACTGGTGTTTTCTGGAGAGCAGCTCAGCTGTGGAGCTCTGAATACGTACACAGGACAAGGGAGGCAGCCACAGCGCCGGGATGCACAGTCCCAGTGCAACCACAGCTCCGGGATGCACAGTCCCAGTGCAGCCACAACTCGGGGATGCACAGTCCCAGTGCAGCCACAACTCCGGGATGCACAGTCCCAGAGCAGCCACAACTCGGGGATGCACAGTCCCAGTAACTGCTTCTGATGGGTGGTCTCAAGTGTGTCCCCGAGGCAGCTGGAAGGCAGCATACGGGGTTTTCCCACCGAAATAGGAGGGTTTCCAGAACCAGTCAGAACTCTGTGTATAGTAGAAAGAAACATCCAAATAAACTCCCGAGTTTAAAAACATTTATTTAATGTTTTTGTACTTGACAAATGTACAAGGCTCAGAAGGTTTAGCAAATGAAAAAAGGTTTAATAAACAATGATTACATCTCCAGGGCCTGCTATTTTACAGCATTTACATTCTCCCTGTTACAGTATTGAATACGAAGGCTGAAGGAAGTGTCTGGTTTTGGGTTTGGGTGGTGCCATCATCCCCAGCTTTCCAGCAGCTCCTTGCGTGGCACTAACGCTGTACGACGCTGAACCAAGCCCGATGAAGCTGAAGCCTTGGAGCTAAATGGCCTCTTGGTCCTTCTGTACCTGCTGTAACCACTGCAAAATGTCGGGAGAAGACACGTGTCAAACATCTGCATTGGGTGCCCCGCTCCCTCCACCCACAGCCTGCTCACATGTGCACCACCATTAGATTTTCTAGAAGACTATGCTCTCATTTTTTAAAAAACACTTTTAAAATACACATGGCTGCAAAAATGCCTCTGAAATGTAAACCAAGTGTAGCTGTTACTCTAGCATTTGTCTGAGGGCAAGAGCAGCCTCCAACAGGGACACAGAACGCTGAACCAACCTGACTCCTATTAATCCAATTAGAATATCAACATTAAGTGACACTTCGGGGTCAACAGCACTTAATGACTAAGATTTTAGTAGATGGGAAGGTGAAAAGGGTGGGAATAAAACCTACTGAGCTGGAAACGGCTTCTTTGCTACAAAAACCAAAGACCAGAATGAGGAAAAACAGGGCAGAGGAGGAGACGTCCTTGGGAAGAGCAGACAAGGGCAGAGCGCGATGGGTTTTAGGAAGGCAGGCCGTGTTTTCTCTTTGATGATGATGAAGGTAACATTAAAACGATGCGATGTAAGTAGTTAATATGCCAATAAAACATAACAGTCTTTCAAATTCAGGCATGACTTCAGGTGGGGATTTGACAGAATGTTTTGGAGAGCGTGTGAGTACCATTTATTGCTGCTCTTCCAAACGGCCTGGACTCCTCCCGGCTGGAAGATAACGCAGTTTCTGACACATACAGACCGCACAGAACCCCACTCGAAGGGTTATTTCGGAAATGCAAGACGTAGGTTGTCTGCACAACTGCTCTTTTGCACCTCGTGTTCTCCACCTCATGTACCAAACGAGGTGAAACTTGTAGGCTGAGGGATTAAGTAACCTGACCATGAGGTAGTACAGAGCACTTTGAATTTAACCCCTTTTTGTGCAAGGCAAGCTACCAGCACAGCAAGCTTTTAAAAGGCATGGCTATAAAACCAAGCAAGAACTTACTGCTCACGTTTTCTAATGTCACCCCCGTTTTTAAAGAGGGTTTGGGGAGGGCAGAGTTTCTCCAGTCGTTTCTCCTTTTCCATTCGTTCCCTTTCAGCACTGACTAATCATCATGTTTTGAAGCACAGACCTTCAGCACAAACTGCTACTGAGTTACCAGACTAATAACTACATGACCTGCTAAAATAAGGTCATTGACTCAAACGGTGAGGTCCAGCCTGGCTCTCTCATCACCCTGGGATAGTTTGGTGGTGGATCTGCTGTAGAAGTTGAAGACCAACCAGACTCCTGGATCCAAACGTCACGGTCTTGATGCAGGCATTGCCTTGAATGGTTACAACTGGAGGGGGAAGTTCTGAATTAACAAGGGACTGGGAACCAAAGTTCAAATATTCCATCAGATCTTCAAAGTTTCAAGCAGTCTTTATATTTCCAAGCACAGAATCCGGTCAGCCTGCTGGTAAGGGTTCTGGCAGCACACTGAAATTTAGTGTCACTTGCGGCAGTCAAGAGTGAGAAATGAACAACGAACGTTAAATATCCTTCCTCGCCAGGAAAATAGAAAACCAAACAGAAAATGATAGAAAACCGAAGTAAAGAAGTCATTACCAGGTACCTGGATAATTTTAATGCCATTCTTAAAGCCCATACTTACTGAAGAAAACGCAGCAGGATAACAGTGCAGATCACCACACTATTCTGAACAAAGAAAAGTTAGAAATGACCACGAGCAACATACCCTTTGGGATGAAACTGCTGGCTGCCACCATTGCTCGTCTTTTTCCTCTTCGATTCTCTGAAGTTTGGCGGCCTTTTCCTTTTCTTTCTTTGGTTTGCATTATTGCAAAAATAGCTTGAGGTTGTGACTACATCTTCTGCTTCTTCATCGCTCTCCGGTGTGCCGGTGCTTCCCGTAGCTGTGTCCACGCTTTGGCCGGCAGCATCTTCTGCAGATAAACAGCAGGTTAAAACTAATGAAATCAGGATATCACCTGGGCCAGTCCGAACTGCCAGCCAGAACACACTGACTGTACCAAAACTTCTGTCCTTGCTGTTCGAAACCTCCTTTGCACTGCCTGTGTCCTGGCGGTGCTCCAGGCTCAGCTAAAGGCATTCCAGAGGTTGGTGTCAAGCGAGGACAGGCGGCTGTTTTGGTTTATCTCCTGACATCATGGAATACTGGCCACTCCTATTTTCTCTAGGTTGGCTTCTTTTCTAAACTATTTCGGTAACACTGGGCTTTCTGCCTTTACGCTCCCTTCCCCATGTCCCTTGGAAAGAACTATGGAACAGACCGTAAATACTCCAGTCAAATATGGCACTTGTTGTTACCAGCAGCATCAGGAGACACCGAAGGGCTCACAGAGCCGAGAGCTCCTTCTCACCCAGCCACGATCGAGCAGGATGTGCTTCTTTGCACAGGCAGTGGAATAAAACACTTTAACCACCAGGTTTGCAGACATGTATTTATTCACACTGCAGCGTACGAACGCACAGCCTCCTTAAACGTAAACATGAATCTCTTTAAAATTGCAGGTCCCAGCGCCGAACCTGACAGCCAAGCTGGATTAAATGGTCTAGTTACAACACAGGCTACGTGCTACGCGCACGTGAAGTTACCAGATTTGCTAGTCTCAGGGCTCAATTCTCCAGTGAGCTGAACTTTGAATATAAGGTTAGAGCTGTGCAACGGCATAAAATACCGCCGTTCCGACCTGGTAGCTTTTCTTTTCTTTTTTTTTTTTTTTCAAACCTAGCTTTGGAAGCTCTGCACCTTTCAGCAAGGGCTAGTCAGTGAAGACCTGAACTTGCTGACCTCAATTACTAGGAAAAATAAAAAGGTAGTAGTGATTGATTATCTGCCAGGCTACAGCGTTACCCCATACAGGAGGTGCAAGACCTTTAACCTTGAGGTCAGAATTCTCATTATAACTAAGCGTATTACATAAATCCCACTAACTAATAGGTTAAGAGCAGAGCAGTCTGCTTAGTTCTTGTTTTCCTTTTTTGGTCTTTCAGAGAGATGCTGAATTTAACTAGTGGGAAGATAGCAAAGGTCTTTGTATGTTCTGAAATCGTGCAATTGCTCCCTTTTTGTAATTATTAAACTGCAAGAATTAGTTATTTGTATTTAAAACAAGGTAGCTTTTGAGTGAAACTTCTGCTAGAACAGGAGAGAAGGATGTTAAACAGGAAAGCAGACATTTAGGTACAAACTGTACTGCACCTGGTGTGGTCCATTCAGAGTACTTATCCATCACTTTAATTATTTCTGCACCGTATTTTTCCAGTTTGTCTTCTGTGACACCATCAATCTGCAGTAAAACCTCCACATCAGATGACAAAGTTTCTGTAATTAACAAAGTACCAATTAGACATGTCAAACAAACCAATGTGCTTTGTTTTTTTTTTTTTTAAGAGAGGTCATGGTAGAGTATTCTGGAGGAAATTAAATCCTTTTAGCGCCACACGATGCATTTAAGTCCTCAAGGGAGTAAGCCTGCAGACTTGCTTCTAGCTGGTTAGCCCAAAAACCAGTCAAAAGTTTTCTCCGAAAATGCTTCAAAGCCTGTTTTGCAGTACGATGCCTTGGGTGGCTCTTGTACCCACCCAGCAGGACTGCTGCAGCACAAACCACGGCTCCGAGGAGCCTGTGCTGTGCCACCTACTGCCCCAGGGCTCGCTCGCTCGAACATCCCTAAGCCAGTTCTGAACGCCACAAACCCCGGGTTTTCTGTCGGAAAAGGCTCCGGTCGCACAGGCGGCCCGCTGCCGACACGGGCTCCGCGTAACGAAGAGCTGACCTTACCTGCTATTTTCTTGAGAGTTGAAGTACTGAAAATATTGAAGTAGTGCACATCGAAGACCTTCCCAAGCATTTTGCACGTGTCCGTAAGTTCCCCAAGGCACTTCTTAACCATCTCTTCCCGCTGCGACATTTTCGCCACGGAAGCCCTTTGCTTTCTGATGGCGCTGGCACTTTCTGTTTCATGAAACTGCACCTGTTAAAATAGGCCAACCCATAACTTCCATCAGGGGAGTTACTGCAGAGCCATCATTGGAAGATTGACTGATAACACAGGAAAACAGTGAAGGAAACCGAAAATACTCTTTGATGGGCCAAAAAAAAAAAATCTATTTACCCAGTATACACTTTTTAATTTTTTTTATTTTTTTTTTTCAGGCTACTCAACTGCCTCTAAGTTTCTTCTCCAAAACACCAGCAGAGTATACACAACACAGGGAAAAAGTCCTGAGAACCCCATTCACAGCTAGCTTTAAATGGAGGTTACTAGGTCTAATGCTGAGGGCTCTGCTCTTCTCCAAAACACAGCACTAATGCAGTGGAGACACTGCCTCAAGCAATTCTGGGACTGGTTCCATGACCTTCTCGAAGTGCATTTTCCATCAGTGCTCACCAATGACTGGAAAAAAAATAGAGCAGAAAATGCAGAAGGCAGTGCTCTTCCTTCTTTTCTTCTTAGCTAGGTTTCTCTGTGTTGGTCAAAACTTTCCTTTCTTGCAAGCTGGAATCAGATGGATGGGGGAAGAGGAGGAAGATTTAATCCTTTCCAATCCTTTCAAACTCACCTTTTGCCTCAAAATATTATTATTAGAATACTGGGCCAGCAATCGTGCTTGTTGGATTCTGTTCCCTGCATCTGCTAAAGATCAGTTCCTGCACTTCAGCTGGTGGGCAAACCCTGTTTCAACTATCCCAGGGTATACACTGCATAAAAACTGTAGCACGCTCCTTAAAACAGTATGAGCAAGAAAAAAAACCCACATAAATCCTTACACACCTGCAGTGATCCATCTAGCACAGCCTGAGCTTTCTCTCCGAGAATTACATACGCTACCGCTTGGTCGTTAGCTGTGATATACAAGTCTTCATCCAGAATCTTGTCCAAGACCAGTTTTCTAAACAGCCTCTCAACGTTATGCCTCGAGTAGGCAGCTCCCTTCCCAAATATTCCCGACTGAATCTTCGCGCTCTTTGTACCTGTGCCGCAGAAATCACGGGATTAGCCTGCAATTAGAAAGTCTACGTACGTATTACAGACCTGTGGAAGATTCCCACGGGCATTCCATAGCCTGTGCACATAAAAAATGCATTTAAGCACCAGAAACTCCAAACACCACCAGAAAACTGATATTATCACTATAGCAACCTGAAACAGATTAAAGCTTTTGTCTCATTTTTTTTGGATCATTTACCTGCAAGAGATTCGCACCACCAGAAAGCTGATATTATCACTATAGCAACCTGAAACGGATTAAAGCTTTTGTCTCATTTTTTTTTGGATCATTTACCTGCAAGAGATTCCTGGGAAGAATAATTTTGCAAAATATATATCTTCTTTTAAACCACTGCTGGCATTGTGCAGACCTCCTGGCAGTCAGGAATTTGTGCACAATTTCTGGAAGAACAGTACTTACCTAAGAAGATGTCCACCATCATATTCAACGTGTATCTCCCAGAACCTGTATTTCTCTTCGCATTTATTTGTCCACAATGCTCCCGTACAAATCTTACGATGCTCTTCACTTCGTCTGTTACATCTCTTGATTTGTAATCCTGTTAAAATAGACTTGATTAGGAAACAACATCACACAGTTCTGTCCTAATGCAAGTTGTTACTGACAACCTTGCTTTTCATAACTGAGCTTTTTCCAGTCGTTTTGTTCCAAGCACAGGAACAGTGATTTTCTAGTTACTACACCTGCAGCGACACGATGTAGCCACAGGAATTCTGGATGTGATAATGCTCTGGAAAACACAACAATACCTACCAACTGACTGAACATCATCTCTACTGCGTTAATTCTACAGAGCGAGTTGCGGGACTGCTGCGTGAACACTGGTGATGAAGGTCAATCGTTTGGAAAGTGTTCCTGCAATTATTCTGCTGCCACGCACCAGCACTTAGACTTCCAATAGATATTAAAACAAAAAGACTGGACTGAATATGCATTATTGTGGTCAATTTTTGTTACGATCACAGCTATGTAAGGTAATGCTTCAAACACAGGTCTGGAGCAATGTCACCAGGTATAAAACTGTTCTGGTTTAGAGAGACCAGTAACCTCTCCCTGTCTGCTTCAACTGCTGCCTTCTCTCCTACTCCTGTTCGTGCCACTAATGAGTTTGCTTCAAACCTTGACACACAAACCCTCATCTTTGGGCCACCTCAAGCAGCACACGCCTCCTAATGTGGCACTCAGGCTACTCTGGCAGCACAAAGCTGCCTTGAAAACATCAGAACAGGCAGTTGAAGAGACTTCTCCATAGCCTTTCCAGTGGATCTGATATTAGTTCCTGCCTCCAATGAGCACTGTAGCAAAAAAGAACCCAACAAAACGACATTAAGGAACATCCTTACGCCTCACTAGTCCTCCTCTGACAGAAACAGGAGCATCAGAAGTCTGTGGATAGTGTGTATAATTCTACTCTAGGTTAAACCCTGGAAATAATTCAAAGCATCCAGCATCACAAAAATACAAGACATCTTATTAATTTTCTCCATTTGCCTTCCCAAATGTCACATAACCATTTTTTAATGGAGCTAAATGCAAAATCAGTTTAACCACACTACACATAAGAGCCACGATTTTTACCTTCTTTCTACTGCAGTTATCGCAAATCACTTCTGGGTGATCTTTGCAGAAGGTGGGATTAAAATCAGTTTCCCCAAAGTAGGCCAAAAGCTGAATTCTCCGGCAATCAACGACGTTCTCGCAGTAATGAACCATACTGTACAGGTTGTTGAAGTGGGTCTGCCTTGTGTGACTGTTTCCATCTTTCTCCACTGAAATGCAATAAATTCAGTCGTATTTGTTAAATCTGCACCTCTGAATTTTTATGTATTATCAGATTGACAAAGCACAATATTCTTTTTTGCTTAAGAAGAGATGAGTAGGTTAGTACAGAACTAACCTAGGACAGATTTTACCTCTACAGTTTCAAAGAATGGAGAAGAGAAAGACGACTAGAATGACAAGAATCAAGAGATGGATATGCATAGAATCATAGAATGGTTTGGGTTGGAAGGGACCTCCAAGATCATCCAGTTCCAACCCCCCTGCCATGGGCAGGGACACCTTCCACTACACCAGGTTGCCCAAAGCCCCATCCAACCTGGCCTTGAACACTGCCAGGGATGGGGCAGCCACAGCTTCTCTGGGCAACCTGTGCCAGTGCCTCACCACCCTCAGAGTGAGGCTGCATGAAGCAAAATGTCTTTGAGTAGAATTAAGTACAAGCCACAAAAACCTTTCGTTACAGAAAACCATTCAGGTAAATCAAAGGAAGCCGCAGAGTTCGCCCATCTCTGCAACACCACACGGCGCAGGGCACCGCGACATGAGAAACCACAGAGTCTAAAGGAAACGGAGGGCAGTGACTAGGAGCCTTCTTTAACACGGTCTGCGTTGAGTTACAAACACGGGAACTCACTCAGTATGAGCCTTCTCAGCCTGGTCACGTCGCTGTAGCTGTAGAAGAGCAGACAGTGAGACATTTCACCGTCTCGTCCAGCTCTGCCAGATTCTTGATAGTAACCTTCTATAGACTTAGGAAGAGAGGCATGGATAACGTAGCGCACATCAGGTTTATCAATTCCCATTCCAAAGGCAATTGTTGCACAAATAACCTAGGAAGGAAACAGGAATTTGTTACACAGAGTTACGAAAGTTCTCCATGCAACACTCTGCACCAAAAGCAGAAAGGTGACCAGGAGCAGGACACTGTGCAGAACCCAGAATTTCAGCTGTAACACTGCACCATGAGCACAAAACAGCAAACCCGCCTCTCCTTTCAGAAGAGCTATTCCAGACAAAGAGAAAACTCCAAATCTGAGTCTCAACAGACAATTCAGCAACGTGCCCAGAGCTGTTTCGGAAGACTTGTACTGCTCAGTTCCTTCCTCCCAGAGTACCATACCTCGGTGCAGTGCTGCAGTCTGGGATTTGTGAAATTCCCAATAAAAAGAGGGCACATCTGTTCGGATCAGTTATTTAACACTGCATCCAATTTGGCAATAACATTACACAACTTTGCTTCCATTTACCAGGCTAAAAGGGATAAAAGTGCTGGAGATTCTATTCACTTTTCCCCCCCCCCCATTGCTTTTCTCTTACCTGACACCCTTCCTGATTAATCCACTTCTTTTGTACAAGATCCCTGTTGCAGTCAGTGAGGCCAGCGTGATAGGCAAGTGCAGCAAGACCTTCCTTCTGCAAAATGGCCGCTGTCGTGTCACATTCATGACGTGAAAGACAATAAATTATTCCAGAATCATCTGCAAATATATTAAAAAAGATTTATGCTACAATACAGTTTTATGCCCTTTCACTTGCTTAACAGTCACACTGGTCAAGCAAATACATTCATTCCAACAGGGAGAGGTTGGTTAAGTGTAATGCAATAACTGCTTAAAAATAAAGTAATTCTATTAATATCAGATGGTTTTGTTAGTTTTTCCTCACTCGTTTTCCTGTTTTTTTGGTGAGGTGGAATCAAGGCAAGTTTTCCTGCTCAGTACTGTGCAATCTTAGCACTGAAAAGACATGACTAAAGAAGTACAAAAAGCAAGAGCTAGAGCAGTCGAGTCAGCGGAGCACCAGGTTACAGCACTAGAGAAGCTACGAAGGGAGTTTGGTGGAGTGAACTTCCAGCAGCAGAGCTGCAGGACTCCAAAAGAGAGCCTGGAAAGACAGCAATCTGAAGAGATCTTCAAGGGGAACCACAGAGAAGCAGACTAACAGAGTTACACAATTAAAACAGGACAGTTATTAGATGACCTTCATACTCTGAAGACATCATGCTAAAAGGTCTGGCAACCTCCAGAAAGATTACTCAAGAGCATTACTATAAATCACTTTTCCATCTTCACTTGAACTCTTAACTGTAGGATGCCCATATATCTGATTCCCGTTATCAATAATATCATTTTCCTTCAACTTGTTTGTCTTGTAAATATATTAGTTGCTTACAGAAAGGCACAAGTCTGGGGTTTTTACAGCATTTAAAAGCTTCTCCTGCCTTAAAAAGTAGTTCACAAAAACGCATGTCCAGTACTCACGTGGATGGTATTTTTTGATCCATTCCAAGCAATCCATTGCCACCTTCTTCGGCTTCTTGGGCAATACATCATATTTCAAGTTGTGCCTGTTGAAGCTCATTGTAAACCTAAAACATGACAGTTCCATGGCTGCACGTCAGCTTGATGCGTGCAGTAATGCTCTCAACAAAGTAGGTAGGACTGGGATGTCCCAGATCCAACCAGCTACTACTGGTTCTGTGTTATCTGCAAAGGAATTATCGTTCCACTACGCCCACGGAGACTCACATCGCCCATACTTCGGGTCTAAAATCCCTCTGTTTTTCCCGTGGCTGTAAACACACCGAAGCTCCGTGGCACTAGGCAGGAGGAAGAAGTGCTCACAAACCAAACACACGCCCAGCGATCTGTCTGGCCTCTGTTTCTCTTTCTTGCATCCACATCTGACCCATCGAATTTGCAAAATGTAGGTTCACCTCCCCCCTTTACCCCAAAGCACATTTCTAAAATAAGAAATTCCACCAAACAGAACGCCTTGTTTTTCCACAGAATCACAGAACCGTTTCGGTTGGAAAAGCCCTAACGCTGACAAGCCCACCCCTCCAATCCAGTGCTAACTAAAAAAACGCTTCCAGCTCTCGCAGTTTTCCAGCAGCCTCATGAAAAGCTCCCTAAAATACAACTTGCACGTTTTGTCAGTGACATACAGAAAATCTCATGACGTTATTTTCTATTAAACAGCTTCCTTAGTCATGCAAGGAAGAGTTTGGCAAGTTGTTTTGTTTTTCTTACTTTAACATTTTGCATAAATCGCACTAAATTCCAGGCACACCCGCTGAATCAGATAGCACTACCCAAGTAATTCAGAGGTACCTGTACTTTACTGCATTTAACACCCAAAATTCCTGCGGCACAAACAAATTCTTTCAGGAAACTGCTGAGCAACTTACACTTGTGGTTTTAGCATCTCCAGCTGGTTCTGAATGTCCTTCTGCACCCTGGGGTTAGCGGTGGCAGTCAGAGCCATCATGGGAACCGCGCGAAACCTCCTGCGCAGCATGTTCAGCCGTTTGTAGTCTTGTCGGAAATCGTGGCCCCACTAGCACAAAGGCAGAGTTTGAATGTAACGAGCAAGGGGCTCCAACTGAGAGCTTTGGCATTCTGAAAGACAAAGCCAGGGTTTTACCTGGCTGACGCAGTGGGCCTCGTCGATGACAAAGCGCGCGAGGAGCTTCCTGTCGTAGAGGTTCTCCAGGGCTGACATCAGTCGGCTGCTTGCGCAAACCTGGGGACACATCCGCGCGCGGCGTGAGACAGCAAACGCCCCGAGTGCCAGCCCACCTCTCTGAGAGTGCAGAAACAGCTGTGCTGGGCAGCAAAGGCAGCCTGGGCTGCGCAGGTGAAGCTCGGAGGCAGGAAGAGGACAGCAATCAGCTTCATTTTAACTGGTAACGAAGCAGCTGGTGTGGGATCACCACAAGGTTCTAGGATCACCTATCCAGAGGTCCTACAGTCTGAGTAAATTTAAATTACTTCTGTCACGAAAGACAATGCTGAAGAAAGAAACATAATCAGCACTCTAAACTGTCCCCTCTTCCAGAGCTCTTGTGGAATAATGTCATTTTTAAAGGCAGCACATAATTAAGCACAAGGCAACCTTCTGCCAGTCACCCATCACCCTGTCGGTTACGTGTTCTTCCCGTGTTATCCCACTCACAGCAGCCAGGATACTCACAGCTGCTTGACAGCAACGAGCCACGAACAGGTAGTAAGATATATTGAAATGGATGGGCGTGGGGTTCTTGCTTTAAGAATTCAGATCGTACAGACATACTCAGTTCTCATTCTTGGTTAATTACTGATTGAAATTAGTAGCATCTGTACATAGTCTTATCGAATTATGTAAAAAATATTTAACAACTTTTTTCCCCCAGAAGTCTAAGTTCAGCGTTTCCCCTTTAATGCTTCATAGTAATTCTCTCATTGCCTCCATAATTTTACAATTCAAATTAAATACAAACCTTCTCAGGGGTCACGTACAGAAGCTTTATTACAGGATCTTTTTTTGACAACTGCATATATATTTTCGAAGCGTCAGCATCTGTTCTATCACCAGTCAGATATGTTGCAGCAATCTATATTAAAAAAAAAATGAAGTTCTAATATGCACAAAACAGAAGCACCTTCAAAAATACAGTCCTACATCTAGTTATAAACCAGGTAAAAAAGTACATGCTTTTACTACCCCCAGCGAACACAACGTTCCATGATTTCCAGAGCTTTTTTGTGCAGTTATGGATAACAGCTGAACTCCCACCACACGGCAGTCATCACAGAATTTTTCTAATGATAAAACCAAAAGACTTAAAGCCGAATTCTATTCTTCTGCTCCCAATTCTACCAACAGACCAACAGCTGACCATTTGTCTCCTTTCTTTTAACTCTCTTTCCAGCAAAGAAAAGAATTGTGATGTTTGTTTACTGCTCAATACCTCGAAGTTTGAGATTGAATTCAGAAAACAGAGATCTTAAGATAAGAAACAAAGTTTCCAAGAGGCACAAAACCATGATAACACTCTCAATAACAGCGCCCACAAACACAGAACAGCACTGCATCAGAAGAGATTGAATACAGCTCAGAGAAGCAATTTAATATTAAATTTGAAAGTATAACTTACTATAGTCATGCTGAATAGTAACAAAGGAATTAAATCCTACTGTGAAACCCTCCATCACAGTCCCTTCGCTCCCACACCCCAAAACATCGCTGTATTTATCCACCTTTGTTTCCCTGATCTCTCAGTCTCAATAGTGCACTAAGGATGACAAAGACACTTCATTGAGACAAAAGCAGTTCACACGTGCCCAGCCCTAGGATCACACATCTTCTGCATCTGTGTTTCTTTTCTCTGGGTATTACTTTTCCAGAAACACTCAGCACCTCCAGAACCCTCCTACCTCAGGAGCTGTTAGTGCTTATTTCTGCTGCTATTCAGGTGTCTACAGACAGCTCTCAGAATCTGAGAGTCAAGCACCTGAACTTGAAAACTGAGCTCCAACAACAAACACTCATGAGCACCAATAAATTTAGTGGCTATGCTGCCAAGGAGCTCTAGTTCTTCCCAGGCAACTTTCTGTGCCTTTTACAGTTTCCATCTAATCAATTTTTGCAGTTTATATCTGAGAGACACAAGATTTGCTGTAAGTTTTCAGATTTCTCATTCCCTTATCCGCAGTTTGACTGAATAAAGCCGTCTGAACTTACATCTAAAGTCTTCAGCTTCTGAACTTGATCGATTATAAGCGACCTCAGCGGAGAGATGACAATAGTGACTCCAGCAGAGACACACGCCGGTAACTGGTAGCACAAGCTTTTGCCCCCACCTGCAGGGATCCAACAGAACCCAACGAGTGTTAGACACCAAGAGGAAAGGGGGGCGGTGTGGAGAAGGAGCAGAAGAGGGGAGACCTATTTCTTACTTCCCATTTTACAGCACTTTCAGAAAGAATAAACTTTTACCAATGACTGCCTCTAAGGCGGTGGGATAAGGAAGAGTTATCACATGAAGTATTACGGAAGGCAGAAATTCAATCGCCTCATTCAAAATACCACAGTGCAACATCCTGCAGCCACAGAATTCGGGCAGCACAATTTATTGCCACCTCCACGAAGGCACAGAGAAAGAGAAAAGTTTGTCACAGGCCTTGCAAAAGGAACTTCGGGTTTTTATTTGTCGAGTGCGTGGCAGACCCGAAGAGCCTGCCGCTGCGCGGAGGCACATACCGGTGGGCATCAGGATGAAACAGTCTTCCCCCAGGAGAGCAGCGTTGATGGCCTCCAGCTGATTTGTCCGAAAATAGTGCAGACCGAACTTTTTGTGAAATGTGTTCATCATTTCTTCAGAGTGGGAAAATTTCACACCCCTGAAACGCTCCAGTGCGGGGTCATTAACCGGGGCATCTGGTGAACAGAAAAGGTGCTTACAATAAGCTGCAATATCGAGTTGCACTGTGCCTCTTGCAACACAAAACTGCCTCGCTGTAACAGCTGGCTCGGCCACCACTGCAACCCTTTTACACTCAAATCATGACTTACTAAACAAAACCGGCATTCATCTAGAGTTTAAGACCGGCTAAAATGCGAATTTTGATTATATGCAAATCTCTAGAAACGAGCTTCTTACCCACGACCGCAGAGCCTTACACGGACAGACCTCACCTCCGTCACCAACGATGACAACGGGCTCCCAGCCATGGGTGCCCAGCGCAGGTGGCAGCTGAGTCAGCGACAGAGAAGCTGATGGGGCAGGTTAAGACTTTCACCTCCCCTTTTACCAACACGTTCCTACAGCAGCCACGAGTAACACCGACCCAGCCCTGTGCCCCAGGGGGACCTGGTTCGCTTCAACGAGTGCCCATTTTTCGAACATTTTGCATAAACAGCTAAAACTGTTGTGCAGCTTTGAATTAACCACTGCAAAATAATTATTTAATTAAAACGGAATCATTCCAGCTTCCAGTTTTAGCAGCTTCATCTTCCCAGCAGCCTGCACGGCAAATAAATGTTCAGTAAGTTTGGCATCACTCGGAGGAAAAGCAAACAGAAGACGACTTTACAAAGAGAAACCAGAAGAAATTTCCACAGAAACAAAAGGCACGGAGGTAATCCACAGAAAGTTACTTGGCCTTAGGTTACAAAATAAGTCCATAACATTTAAAAAGACAAAGACAGTAATCGTAATGAGCATGATTTACCTGAACGGGTCTTTGTTGCAGCCGAGAGGGCTGATTTCGGAGCAGGGGGATCTGATGCAGCTGCAGACCCTTTGGCTCTGGACATTATCTTGGACAGCAGCGACTGGGCAGGCGGCCCTTCCCCGCCGGGCTGGCACACCGGCGCAGATGGCGTTGCAGGAGCCGAAATATTCACCGAATTCTCCCAGTCCTCATCGAAGTCGTCGATGTCAAAGTGGTCGAGGTCCCAGTCCGAACCATCCGTGCCCGACCTGCCGTCGGCGGGGGCTGTGATCCCCTCCCGGAGCCGTGCCGGCGGCAGGCCCCGCCAGCAGGCGGTGGTTTCCACCGCTCCCCAGCCCTGGTGTCGGGCACCAGCTGCTGTGGAAGGACACCTCGGGAGGGAGGCCGAGGGCAGCTCCCCCTTTGCCACCGACCTTGGAAGAAGGCAGTGCTGCAGTTTCCGGGCAGGTGATCTCAATACTTTGCTTTGAAGCGTAAGAGGTAGCCAAGGTTTGGGGGTTTTTGGTAGAAAAATTGCTTGAATTAGGAGTCCCAGAAAGCACAAACGAGAGGTTTGTGGATTTGGGCGAGTTTCTGTCACAGCTGAAGCTCCAGTTTGGGCCAGAACCCCGAGCAGCACCAGGACAGGCATGGGGGCCCCGCTCCACACCTGCCGCCCCGTTCCCAGGAAAAGTGGTGTTTGGGCTGTTTTTGTTCAAAGTGGCAGAATTGGCCAGCAGCTTTCTCCTGGGAGAGATGGCAAGGAAGGAAGAAGAAAAGAAATATTTAGCCACAAGCAATGATTTACCACGTTCTACAACATATATTGAACAGCTTTGTCTCTCTCCTATTAAAAATATAAACATATGGTGGTTACATTGTATTCTGTGTCACTAGATGTTAAAAATATTTCAGACAAATCTAAGGAAGAGAGAATAGCACCAGAACTCAGTTAAACAAAATAATTACAAAATTACTATATCTTCTCTGCAAACATGAAATAAAAGAATTCCTGATAGCAAGGAACTGATCCAGCCAAGGTAGAGCATTTGGGAAAAAAATTATCCTTAGAGGCACAAACCTGAAGTTAAAAAAGTAAAAGTACACTTGAACCAAATTATGTTTTCATGTACTTTCTAAAGACTGCGTCTGGCTAGAGTAATAAGAGGAAATAGAACAAATTAGTTTTACTGAGAACGTTCAGAAACAGCACATAGTCCCAGCCCAGTAAAAAACCAAACCCAAATCCCAAATCTCAGCACTTGGTCTACGTGCTGCGTTACCAGATTACGCAGAAGCTACAGCAGCAATGATCAGACTGAAAGATGACACGTGCACGGACATTACGAGTGACACTGACACTGCAGGCAGTGACAAAGCCTCACAGAGGGAACATTAAATTAACACCTCTGGGTAAGAGGAATCAGGCTGACACCCAGCAGGCTGGATCACATCGCCCTGCTGCTTCGGAAGCAGCCGCCTTCCAGAGAAGGGTTACAGGATCACCCATGCCTCAGACCGAATGGAGAACTGGGTTCTTGCTTCTGGCAGAAAACTGGTATGATTAATACTTCCAGCAGCTTTGGGGAATTTTTTTTTCTTCGTTCCATCAGTAATTTTAAGCTTTTAAAAAATCTGTATGGTCTTTTCAGTGCGATGGGGACACCTGCAGGCATGGCGCCGCTCCACCAGCACGTGGAAACGCGGAGGGCGGCGATCACACGCACCTGAGATCTCTCTGCTGGAGAAGTTCTCTGGCACACGACAGGGACTGAAGCTCGTGAAGCGGAATGGCATCCACCAGCTTGCAGATACCATCCATGACGCCGTAGATTTGCTGTTCCCAGTTCACGCCCGGATCTGTTAGATGGAGTGTATTTTAGCACACAGTAGTGGTCATTTTTATTAGAATATGTAATGAGTTGATATCACTCTCCCAAAATACAGTGAATTGCAATAAATACGTCTAAATAATCCACTTCCAATATATTTTTCCAAAGTCCTTTCACATAAAGAAACTGTTTCTGTGTGCACGCACTCAGCCAGACTACATATTTTCGCCCTTGCCCTTTTAATTACTCATCTCTATATATTTTCCAAATCTCGTCACAGTTCTTCCAAACTTATTTCCAAAAACACTCAAGGTTACATGTTTTGCTTATTGCAAATTACCCCTCCCCAAGCACACTAAACCCACATTTTATCAAAATACCACACTGCAATTCTAGTCTAGAAAGCACCACAGAAAACCTCCCACACGTGGAAGTCAGCATTTGCCACCCCACAACCTGCCCTTCCAAATCCAGCACCGCTGCAAACCATCCAGATTTTGCCAGTGATCCACACCAGACCTCAAACTGCTGCTACTGGGGGTGTGAACCCTCAGACTAAACTCTGGCCTCTGCTACACCTGCCCAACGCTGAACTAGCTGGTGGTCAGATGGGCACCTCTTGCAACAAGCTGATGGTCCAAACGGACCAGAAGTTTGCACGCTGAAGCAGGGCAGGATGGAGCTTGGCTAAATTGATTTCCAGAACAGCATCATTAAGAGATAAACGTGCAAACTCTGCTCTGGGCACTTATAAACACAAAGTTTTAAACGACACTGTAGAACAGCACCATAAGCGACAGTTTTCTGTCTCTGGAGAGGAAAGATCTGCAGCCTGAAAAGCAGGTTGTGCCACTTGGTAACTTTTCATTCTGCAAGTGCAACTCAGACACATTTTAGCTCAGTGTTTCCCAAAGCCAGCGTCTGTGGGAATCAAATGGAAGCACTGGCACAGCTCCAGCTTACAGCCACGTGTCTTTGTGCCATGGCTGACTTGCAAACAATTTGGTCTCTCTGTGCTTTTCAGTTCTGGGAAGGAGGTCTGGGCCATATCCCAGACCAGTACTGAGAAACCCAGCATCAGGATCAGACGACACCCTGAGACAACACCCTACACGCCACATACACAACACCTGAAAACCCCCAATGAGCCTCAGTCCCTGCTCCCTCGTCCCCATCGGTTACTGCTCTCAGGTTACGTGGGATATGCAGGAGAACAAGAAGCTGCAAACCATCCCTAAAACCTAAGGCATAAAATTTCCCAACGTCTCGTGTACCTGCATCCTCCACACTGGGATCACTTGCAGCAACAGGCGTTGTTGTGGCAGCCTTCCCAGACTTGGACTCAACGCTGCCAGCTGTGGATCTTCCACCAGTAGGAGAGTCTCTGAAAACACCACTAAGATTAAAAGAAAAAGTCGTTAAAGCACAGATATCTGTAAATCAATGCATTTCCATAAGAGAAGTTTCTCTTTTAAAATAACAGCACTTCAGATGTGTGTAAAAGACAAACAAATTTCTGAAAACCCAGTCAAAACGCAAGTTGCTGAGCAGTTTGCCACTCATCCTATGCACCAACGCATCGAGATTTCTTTCAATAACTTTTTTTTCCCCTCTCGCTATGGAAGAAAAAATAACTCTGCTTTTTCTGACGCAACAGCCACCTTAAAGATCGGGCATAAACCAGAAAGTATTTCATAAAACATTAACAGCAGCTGTCAACTGCTAACCTGCCAAGCAACAGACAGACACAATCCACTCCATCTGTAACTTTTTGACGAGTTTCATGTCTTTTTTGTTACTTCATAAAATCATCACAAAGGCAGACGGTTTTATCAAGTAACTTTGTTTTACCTAATGCTTTTGACAGAAGGTGAGACAGACGGCAGCTCTTCTTCAGGGGAGGGTGGAACAATATCCAGGTAATCGTCCTCTTCGAGCTCAGTGCCCGCAAACGACTCGATGTCAAACTCATCCAGTTCTGGGGGATGGTTTTTCTCGCTGCTGTTTGGCCTCTGGCTCTCACCACTTCTATCAACAGCGGCTGAAAGAGAAAGGCGTTCGCACCGTTGGGCCACGCTGTAAACTCCTTCGAGCACAAACAAAAGTGCAGCTGAACAGAGGGGAAAAAATAACAGCCAGATTTCAACACACTCCTTTAATACAGTTTCTGACTGTATTAAGGACAAAAATAAATATTACTGCTCCCTTTTTCTCCCCCATTAAAAACAAACGGATAAAACCCCCACAAAGCCTCTTGTAAGAGGAAAAGTTCCACAGCTTGCCTATAGTTACCCTGCTCTGTCAGGGGAGAAAAACTGAAGAGGTGTATTTTCCTACAAGAGATTTCATAGAAAATATTGTCATGTTAAATACTAGCTCAAAAAGATGGTAGACTCATCGACCAGCATAGTCCCTATACTGGAATCAGAAGGCAAATGTACACATATAACGCCTTGTAAGACAAATCCTACTAAGAGAAACCAGTATCATTAATAGGTTAAAATTCATACCACGGAAAGAGAAGAAAAGGTAAGGAAATATTCTTAAGAAGAAAAACACAGTTAGCAAATCCTTTCGCCATTTAACGTAACGGCAACGTCACGGAACACCGTTCAATATTATTCAGTTGCCTGAACACGCGAATTCCACAAACAAAAAGTTTCAAAACGTAACGGGTAAGGCACATAAAACAGAGAAGCCGAGAGGAATCCCGAGCTGCCAAGGAAGCACTCTGACTGATGGGCACGAACGTCCTGGTCAAAATCAGGGGCTGGAGTTTTTCTGATTTGTTTTGCTTTGAATGGAGAGAGATTTTTTCTGGTTTAGTGTTTTTCATCATTACATTTTGGCACAAAACGACTCTATGTCTCTCTCGCACAAATTTTAAAAGTGCTTTTCTTTCTAACCTATCCCTATAGATTATTGCTCTTCATTTCTGGAACGCCATATGGGAAGTCCTGCAATCCTAATACCACCACATGACCAGTTGCTACTTCTTGTCAGGCTGGGAGAGTTGGGGCTGTTCAGCCTGGAGAAGAGAAGGCTCTGGGGAGACCTTCCAGCGCCTAAAGGGGCTACAGGAAAGCTGGAGAGGGGCTTTGGACAAGGGTGTGTAGTGACAGGACACGGGGCAATGGCTTTAAACTGAAAGAGGGGAGATTTCCATGGGATCTAAGGAAGAAATTCTTCCCTCTGAGGGTGCTGAGGCACTGGCACAGGTTGCCCAGAGAAGCTGTGGCTGCCCCATCCCTGGCAGTGTTCAAGGCCAGGTTGGATGGGGCTTTGGGCAACCTGGTGTAGTGGAGGGTGTCCCTGCCCATGGCAGGGGGGTTGGAACTGGATGGTCTTGGAGGTCCCTTCCAACCCAAACCATTCCATGATTCCGCCCCGGAGTCAGCACTCCGCCAT